GGCAGGAGAGAGCGCGCAGCGAGTGCTGCCCTCCTTGTGCATCACTCCCACCTCGTGAATCAAAGCCGTGGAGAGCCAGTCTGGCCGGCCGCGTGTCCGGGCGCTGGTCGGGGGAAGAGTGCTCGGTGGAGGATGACGAGGAGGATGAGGAGGACAAGGAGGGCAGCCTTCCTCCTGCCCACCCCGCTGTGTCTCTTTTGCAGGCTCTCCAGGTGGCACGCCAGTTCCTGCTGCAGCAGGCCACGGGGCTGAGCTCCCCCAGCAGCAATGAGGGCAAGCAGCCGGCGGTGCAGGTGAGCCCCAAGGATGTACGTGTGTGTGTGTGTGTGTGTGTGTACACGTGTGTCCCCATCACCCCCTCTTCGGGAAGGGCTCGGCTGCAGACTGACACTGCGGGAAAGCGCACATGCAAACACGTCGCCTCCATCTTTGGGATGGCCAAAGCCCACCAGGAGCCCACAGAGAGTTAAATCCCCTGTAAACCTCCAGAAATTTGCTGGGGGGGGGCGGGAGGTTAGAGGGTTTTTTTGTGGTCCCCGCCTGTGCTGACATGGTGGGAAAGGGCGATGCAAGGGGAGGGTTGGGTAAGGAGCGGGGAGAGAAGGTCACCGTGTGCCACCATACCTTGGGACAGCCTTTGGGATAGGGAGGTGCAGGTTTTCCTGGAGTCGGGGCAGGATTCGTGCCGGGTGCTGTGAGCAGGTCACGGGGCTGGATAAGGGATGGTCACTCAGGGCTGGGTAAGGGGTGGTCACTCAGGGCCAGAGCCAGAGCAGGTCCCCCAGCATGGGACAACTACTGGGACAGGACAAAGTCCCATCTGGGATGGGGTTTTGTGGTACTGGAAGGAAAACAGGGCTTTGGGTGGATGCAGCACCCTTGGGTGGCATCCTGCTCCCACCGGGGAGGGGGGGACCTCCCCTTTGCTGCCCTGCTGCCCTCCTCCGCTGAAGGAAAGGGGCAGAAAATGGAACGAAAAGGGGCAGAAAATAGAAAGAGAAGGGGCAGAAGAGGGGTGTGAGCCCGGGGAGGGGGAGGCAGAAAGAAGCAAAGCCCAAGCGATGGAAAGTGACAATTTAAATAGCTGTGCGGAGGGGCTCTCCCTTCAGGCTAATTAAATTTATCGGAGAACAGCAGGTTACCTTATTAGAGCCACGTGGGTTTAATTAACAAAGGAAAGTAATTAGCACAAGCGCTCTCAGAGCTGGAGGTCCTGCCTATGCCAGGCTGAGC